CACACACACACACACACACACACACACACACACACACACACGTGTGGCTAGAACATCTAGAGAGTGCTTCCCAGTGAGTTCAGTGGCACCTTAGCGGGCAGTTTCCTGCTTTCCAGCCCCAGCCTGTAGCCCCTCAGCAACATCATCCAATGGGCCATAACTATCCTCTCTCTAGTGAGATCTGAATCTCATCCTAGCAGTGGGGGTGGGAGGATTCTTCCAAGTTTGTTCCTTCCTTGAGTACTCTGCCTCAGCCCTAAAGGTAGTAGCTTCTCCCTATAACTATTTCTGTATTCTTTAGAGTTGTCTTTACCCACTTAGTACTTAATACCCTGTTACTAGTTAATAATTTTTTGTATTAAATTTTCACAAATTTAATACACTTAGTACTTAATACCCTGTTACTAGTTAATAATTTTTTGTATTAAATTTTCACAAAAGAGAGTGTGGCAGATGTGAGGGTGTGTGACTTCCAAGACTAGATCGTAAGAGTCGTGCGTTCCTCCTTGCTCTTTCTCTCTTGGGTTACTCACTCTGGAGGAAGCAAGCTGCCGTGTCATGATGACACTTAAGCAGCCCTATGGGATGTCCATGTGGTAAGGAACTGAGGCCACCTGCCAACAACCAGCACTAACTTTCCAGACCTGTGAGTGAGCCATCTTGGTGGCCATCTCCTCCTGCCCCAGTTAATCCTTCGGATGACTAGCCCCATTCAAATCTTGACCTCATGAGAGACCCTAAGCCAGGACTACCCATCCAAGCCATTCTTGGACCCCTGCCCCACAGAGGCTGTGTGAGATAATAAATGTTCATTACTTTTAAGGTGCTAAATTTTGAGATAATTTGTTACGCAGCAACAGATAACTAACAGAGGTACCCCCCAAAAAAGAGCTCGTTCAAAATACTGAACTCAGTTCTCTCTTTCTTTGGGGGGGGCGGGGATCCTAGTTCCCCAACCAGGAATCGAAATTGTGCCCCCTTGGAAGCACAGAGCCTTATCCAGTGGACCACTAGGGAAGTCATGAACTCAGTTCTCTTTTTTTTTTTAACTTTATTTATTTATTTTTGGCTGTGTTGGGTCTTCGTTGCTACACGTGGGCTTTCTCTAGTTTTGGTGAAAGGGGGCTACTCCTTGTTGCGGTGCGCGGGCTCCTCATTGTGGTGGCTTCTCGTTGCAGAGCACAGGCTCTAGGTGCACGGGCTTCAGTAGTTGTGGCACACGGGCTCAGTAGTTTTGGCTTGCGAGCTCTAGAGCGCAGGCTCAGTAGTTACGGCATACAGGCTTAGTTGCTCCGCAGCGTGTGGGATCTTCCCGGACCAGGGCTCAAACCCGTTTCCTCTGCGTTGGCAGGCGGATTCTTAACCACTGCACCACCAGGGAGGTCCCTCAGTTCTCTTTTAATCAAGACACTTTTAATCAAGGCACCTAAACACTTGGTAGGGCTTTTTGTCTTTCCCTTTCTTACAAATACTTTTTCAGGTAAAGGGTGACTTTTTTTTTTTTTGGCTGTGTCGGTCTTAGTTGCAGCATGCAGGCTCTTCGTTGCGGCGTGTGGGTTTCTCTCTAGTTGTGGCGCGTAGGCTCTGTAGTTTGCAGCACGTGGGCGTGGCATGTGGGATCTTCGTTCCCCAACCAGGGA